GTTGCTCAAACTTGGAATTTTTCAATTATAGTGATTACAATGAGTTTCTTTTTAATTTATATGATTTATATAAAAAAAATAATACATCTTGTTTCTAATTTATTATTACAATTATTTCCTTATGGACGGCAAAAGTTAGAAAAGTTATATTAACAATGGTAGAAGTGGTAATTCTTTAGCTGCATTAAGAAATACGGTCTATCTGTGCTTTATACAAAAAACTTATAGAAAAATTATCATCGTGCTGATTGCACAATAAATATTAGAATAAAAATAAGAATAATATTTAAAGTTTATATTGTCCACTATACGTAGTATATTTATGGGTAAATTTATATTTATTTTTGTTTCTGCCTATCTAATCTCTTTCAATCATTATTCTATCTACTCTTATCTACATATAATGTACTTTGTTCTCTCGATTAGTTTTCTTCGCACAGCCATTATTTGCACAACCATCTTTTTTGAACGATTTAAAATTATGCTTTATATAAAACAGATGTCTATAATAAAAGAAAATTACTTTGGCAACTACCATTCTACGATATTAATGGTTGCTCTAATGACCTCCGTTAGAAGTTAAAAATGGAAAGACAGAATATCGTTATAAGTATCATGCAACAATACATTATGTTAAATTGGTCAGCTTGAAGCTGTGTGCTTTTGGGAAATGAGTCTTTTTTAAAGAATCTCTTGAATTTTTCATAAGGTGTTGAAGGTTTCATACGATGCGGCGTTTTCGCTCAGTTTAACACAAAAAACATTGTCGCACAACACTGGAAAAAATGTTCTATTTTAGCGGTAACAAATAAATATAAAAAATTAAAAAATTATGTAAAGTTTCATATGCTCTTTTCTAGCTTTTAATATTTTTCAAGTACTTTTAGTATAGTTTTCATCAAGAAACGTCTCTCTCGTGTAGCTTCGCCCGTATATATAATTAAATAATAAAGCTCGTTTTGAACATCGCGATACGGGTCCTCTCTCTTATTCACCGAGCACGGCAAACCGATATTTTCATTTAACGCGGGCGTCAAATCCGATCGACGTTTTTACGAGTTATAGCTCGCAGGTCGTAAACGTTAAAACGGCCGACCGTAGTTATGAGACTCGACTCGAGCCGGGCGCCTTAAGGATATTTCGGCATGCTGCCTGCAGACGGTCTCCGATAATTGAAGGCCGAGAACCCTCGTTTAACCTTTACAGCCAGCAGAATTATACTATTTCTGCGAAATAGTCGCTCAACAGGCGCTAGCGTCCCCTAGAATTCGGGCCCAGGCCCTATATGAATATTCCGCGGGGCCGCTCTTATGGCCGCCGCGATGTTCTATGGTATTTCGAAGCCGATACCGACAAGCATATGTAATCCTGCCCAGAAATGCAATAAAAGTCGTCTAATTAAAATTCACTTAAGCGTTTAACTTGGCACAGTTTAATGCACTTGCAAAAAATATATTTAAAAAAACGAAAAAAAGATAAATTGCTGGCTAATTGTTATACGGAAAGAACAATTTTGATGGTGCAACAAAATTATTTTCAGATCTGTATCTAGCTAAATTTTTAGATACTTCAGTAAAACCGCTCTTTCCGTGTATGTATACATAGGTACGTTAATTATAGTGAAAACGATTATTAATTCTATTTCCTTGTTATTCTTTCTATTTATTTGTAAGAAAAATAAAACATTCATTAAATTTAAAACGCAACTACTATAATTTTAAATTATAATGCCCTAAAGTATAAGAACGGATAACAAATGCATGTATAATTAATACATTCTTATTTAGTATTCCACAAAATAGACTCATTAAAGTTTATAAAAATTAAATTAGAATCGGACGTTAATCCAGATGCAATGATATATCTTGACACGTACTTCTTAATGTCAGAATTAACATTAATTATTTTAAAGAAGACTAAACATATGACTTTGCACACAGAGTAGACATATTCGATAAGATAACCAGCTAGAAAAATTTTACAAATATGTATCTTATGTTTTATTATCTGTTATTGAAGTGCCGATAGTAAGTTCGTATCATGCAATAGGGAAAATGGTGGGAAGGAATGCAATCTTGCGAACTGCAGACGGCGCCACCGATTGGGACACAAAAATTGCAAATGTTTAATTTATTATAATATTGCATAAGACATTTTGATTTTTAATGGGAATATTAATAATTTACATGTAATTAGTCTTCCTAGTAAAATAAATTATACTCTAATCTAGTATATATTATAAATTATAAAGTGTATCCGTAATTATCCATATATCAAAGATTTTTTAAAATATTAGCGATAAATTATTGGAAGAACTTCGAAAAAGGGGAAATAATTGCTGCTTACTTTTATATCAAAAAACAAAAATTTCTTTTTATGTATAATTAATATATATTCTTTAGATATCTAGCAACTAAAGTGTAATTTAAAAACCTAAATTTATTTAATATAAGATGTAATATTTATGATTATTAAAATCATATTTTGTAAAAATAATCCATAAAACTAAACCTTTCGATATTCGATATTTTATATGCAAGATTGATTCAATATTGTTAATGTAACACCTTTACGTACTTTTTCCTTATTTATTTTTGTACATCTAAAAACGCATAATTTATTGGAATATATTTTATTTATTCTCGATTTTTTAACAATTTGACGGTCACAAAATTTTAAGAATATCTATTGCGTTATTTCGCCTCTTTACAAAATGGCGCGTCCAAGTTTGGACGGCATCATGGTATCCTCCACCCCTCTGTAGGGGTAAAACCCCATTCCACAAAGCCTCCCTTCATATAGGGTCAGCTTCCGATACGGTGAATTCGAAAATAACCTTAGGGTACGAGATAAAATTTCTTTTTAATTAAAAGATGTAAATAAAAAATGAGCTTTAGCTTTCTTCATCTATTTCAATTTCATGTATGTAAGTCTTATTCATATTTTTATTATTATTCTTAAATTAAATTGCATCTTCCATTTTTTCTTAAAATGTTTATTACACTATCACTCGCAAAAATGTGAGTATGAGTATATACATATAATGGCTGCACGTAAATATTCTCACAATCAGTATATTGAGCTTGCCTGTGGGTTTGCTAATTGTAAGCCGAAATGCGGATCAGTCATCTTTATAGGAGTACAAGATCAAAGGTAAAGTTCTATTCAAAAGGTCTCCTCGGAAAATTTCTGGAAAATTGTTTCACTATGATTTGTAGTACCATCTACCAATTTTCGTCGGTAACCAATAATGCTATTTTAGAATACCGTACACTGTTAACGCAACTGTGATATACATAGGTAGGTAGAAAGTACTGAAACCGACCGATGGTACTAACGGATTGGCAACGTGAAGTGCAAACGTGCTGTTGGAAAAATCAATCGGTAGAGGTGATCGCTGGTTCCGTTTCCAACATCGCATTTGCACTGATGATGCTATATTGTATTGCGTTCAATTGCGTGTTATAATTGCATGTTTTAAAGTAAAGATTTAATTTAAATAGTTAAAAACACACCAAACAATTGAAATTTTTATAATTCTGTATTTGGGGATATCTTAGAATATATCGGTTGGTTTATAGAGTGTTTGGACGTGAATTATTTATTTTAATTGTTCAGGACGATCTTTAAATTAAAGAAGATTTCACATCGTTGTATAAATCTGCAAGTTATTATTTATATTTCTCATGTGTTTAAAAAATGTGTTTAAAAGTGGTTCATCATAAGATAAAACATGTAAGGCATGATACATTAGTTTCTCTTTTAATTTTAAAAGAAACACTTTTTTTTAATTGTAAGCGATAATTTAATTGTAGAATTGTAATAATATATATTTGGAGAGACGTCGGTAGAGAGAGAGAGTAGAGTGGGCGATATCGTTGACTCGGTCCTGTTTGTTTTTGACGAGTTTTAGACCTATCTAGTGTTTACGAATTCGAATAAGACGAACGCACCAGGACGTTGCGAGATAATATATAAGAACGTTAATTGCCGAGCGAGAATAGAATCCTCTCAGTAAGCAGAGGAGCGAGAACGCCTGAGAAGAGCATCGAGACACGGACCTGAAGACGAGCGATACGGAGTTGACCTGAGGAGCGGAGCGTCCGGCGTCCGTCCCTACATTAAGTACATTGTTCATTATTTCCGCGAAATAAAGTAACATGTGACAGTACTCTTGATATTATCGAATTATTAAAAAGCCATCCTACTACATAATATAAAGTTTGTGATAAATTTTTTTAAGTAATTATTTTATAGTAATAATAATGTCACCATCTTTCGAAAAATTGTGATAACTATATTTTCCTTAAATAAAGCTACACTTTTTCTAATAAAATTCATTTAGTCAAGATTAAAACAAATTCAACAACATATAATATAATCTGTTTACATTAATGTAAATTTTATAGTAATATAAATTTTTATTTAACATATTATAAAAAAAATTTACTAAAAGCTGCATGCATGCAAAATAAGCTTTTAAAAATGCACAAAATATCAAAAGATGTATTTTTATTAATATTAGAGAGGAATAATGAAAATATTGGTCATGAAAATATCCAGAAGATTGTCGTTGGACATCAACGTTTCTGATTGCGATTCATTTCTTTACATATTCCTCATATCATGTTTTATCTAAAAATATAAGAAAACGTGATCAAAATCTATTTGTTTAATTATAACATTTTAATTATTTTTTTCTAATATTTTGCTAAAGTTGTGAAATAAGTGTTCGTAAATTCTTACGTATTCTTAAAGCTTGAAAAATTGTAATTTATTTTATATTAATTACGACGTTGAGAAGTGCAACATTATTTACTTATCCGCTTAAACGTGTTTCGTATTAATCAGCATAATTCCGAAAGACGTGATCAACGAAAGAAATATAGTCGTTCGAGATAAACAGGTTAAATCGAAAAGGATAAGCTAGCCAGAAACATTTGTGCTGTTTGTGAGTGACGTCAATTACCATCATCGATAATAATCCAACGAGCGACTCTCTCCTGCGACAGTCTTAATCCTACCTTCGCCAAACGAACACGTTCTTCGGCACTCACGAAACCGCACGGTATACCCTGTCATTATCATTACATCAGCTTCACGGTCCATTGTCTAGAGTTTAGTGAGTATTATTGACACCGTAATTCTCATAATCTGCCAAGCTTTTTGCTGTTACGACATTTTGTCTTAGCACCATTTGGACATTGGTGACATTATACGAAAATAACTGGTTTTTTTCCATGTAAGATTATCAAGAGAAATCTTTTTGCAAAATATTATTTTAGAAATTATTTACAATGTCACAAAATGTGAATGCATGCACGACTGTAATTTTTTGTTTATTTACTATTTTTATTAATAAAATTGAAAAATAAAACTTTTGAAGTCTCTGTAACGTGGCATTTACAATTATACGTTGCTCTCATTATATTTCATAATTCTTTCGTCATTGATCTTGAAATTTTTTCTTTTTACATAACACTACTTTACATTTACGACGTGAAACCAGTTTCGTGTTTTCTTAATGTGCCGTAGTTTATCTATAGTCACGGCTAATAAAAAATGATAAATCTCTCAAACGTAATGTAGACATACAATTTCACTTTCTCTGTAATCATGTTCTTGACCATAAATTAAGTCTAATGTAAACGCGATTATTTCCACATTAATGTTATAAATTGTCCATCATCAACAGAAGACTATTACTATTTCATAGATAAAAGATACTTTTGCAGGTTATTATAAAAAAAAATTCAGAGGCAGTTATATACATATAATGTAATAATCAATTATTATGTACCTATTATATAACCGCATCAATATAGCAATATGCAATAGAAATTTTTATACGAAAGCTATAATAAATTTAATATTGTTTTTTAATTATAATATAACTTAATTATAATACATGTAGTTATTTAGATACACGCATCCATAATTATATTTGCATCTGTACTAACTAAATAATTTCTATTTCGCATATCTGCACTTTTTTATAATTAATATTATATTAACAACAATACAGAGATCGTCACGAAATCTCTCAAAAATCTGACGCTGTATGGTACTTCAAGAGTGTTCAAAATGAGGGAATATCGAAATAACGTATTAATCCAGCTAAGCTTTATTTGCATCACCACGCTTAATGCGAATATTGTTTGTGGTGATTCACCAGTTACAAAAATTCCAAATGGTACGTTGTTTGGGAAGACAATGCCCACCCGATTTGGAAAAAATATTTATGCATTCCTGGGAATTCCCTATGCTGCACCGCCAATTGGAGAACTCAGATTCAAGGTAAAATTATCCTGTTTTTTTTTGTGAGACATAAACGCGAAGTGATTAAGTGATTCCATCTTTAAATTTAATTCGATTAATTTGTTATCTGAATTTGCGGAATTTGTAAACGTTTATTTTTATGCTGCGTTTATTACGCAAACGAGAGGGAAATACTTTTGAAATAGTTGATTGGAATCTGTAGACAGACATATTTCTATAATAGTCAATTCAAAGTATATTTTCCACGAGCGGAGATAAATATCCGGTTAAAATATTTCATCTGATAAATGTGTTATTTAAGAAATCATCTTTGAAATATGATACGTATGATAGGTATGATATAGGTGCTTGCAACATACGTCAAAGAGATAAGTGGTATCGAGTATTTATGTTAATAGTTTATAAAAAAGTAATTGCCTAAATCGTGTGAGCTGAGCTAGCTCGGTTAGCGCATCACAGCTAGCTGAGTTATGGCTTATAATTTAGAAGAGAGTATGGAATTAGAATCCGGAGTTAATTAACTAATCTTGCCTGCTGTGTCCTTAATGATTCCTAATGGGCTACGCGCCTCGCGCAATCGCTTAAAAAGCGGCATCAGGGACTTTCGCGGCAATTAGTATGCAACAATCACGCATCGTAATAACAAAAATTTCCTTTTCCTTTGAGTTTACGCATCGTTCACTTTTTTTCCATGCAATTACGCGCGCTGCCGCTGTTGCAACTAATTCGAACGTCGGCATTCCGCTTTCCTAAGTCAATTCTGAATATTATTGTACGTGACATACTTTGTGTTTTTGTTTCGCGGAAGTAAAAAAACTGCGTTACAATCGGATAAACGTGATAATTCTTTCCGAGCACGAATTCACTATAAAAAAGGAGCCTCAGCCTCGGCAAATAGATATATACTGCAGGATGCCACGAGAGCGCATTTTTATTGACGCTTTGTATTCGCGTGACGTTATGTCACCGTGTGTGTATTTTGCGCTTAGCTTTGCGCGCGTTGCTAATATTATTTTACATCAAATCAATTTTACATTATAATATGTGTAAATTTTTGACATTATAGATTATATTCTTTAGAAACGATAATAAATAAGAGATAATTCAGTCATTTATTATTCGACCAGAAGATTGTTTAAAAATATTTATAAAAACAAATGAAAAAATAAATTTAAATTAGAAAGTCTTCCACACAAAACTGAGCGTAGTTAAAAATGTTTTTAAAATTGTTCTATATTTAAAATAGCTTGCTTTGTTGATTCAATATTAAACTATCCTACATTGGATAAAATACATGAATACCAAAAAATCATCTTGTATTTAATTAATAGAAGTAAGAAAATTTGACGAAACTGAGAGATAAGGCAAACGTAAACGTAATTGGTTTAATTATAACTGAGAAAGTGTATGTGGTAAAAGATTGCTTTGTGGAAGTTTATATAGATTTTATAATGCTGCAATGTGTCGGGAAATCATGCGGAACTAATAATCGTTGGAATTTAATTTTGAATTCAAGCGAGACGTATCACAGAAATCATGCTAATCATACTTGGCTTGCATTAGATATTCTGCTGGTCGACCGCTATCGTCATTTAACGAGAAAATGCTTCTTGCATTTTATTGGATGTCTATTTCGTAATATCACGCATGTCCAACGATGCGTATAATTTTATTTTATTTCGCTAATTTTTAAAGTTCAGAAAATATGACACTTATCTCCGATAAATATATAGTACAAATTATAACGTACTTATAAACCAGTGAAAGAAATAGAAGAAAATCAAAGTACATCAATCAATTTAATTACTTAATTATTCTTGCCCTATGTAATTAAATGGAACGTTTATTTTCAATTTAGCACAATGTACGTTTCGACGTTCACCACTTAAATAATGTCTTATTTACGATTAAAATATATAACTATTTTAATATTTTATTTGAATTAAAAACTAACCGATAATTTAAAATCCTTTACTTAATATGGAAATCTTTCATATTATCATCTTTCTCAAATCAATTTAGCGCACTAAAGCTTGCCAAGTAAAATTATTTCAATTTAATTACATAGAACAAGTATACACGAGTATATGATATGAATAGAATCACTCACCAGTCGCTGGATCGTCGCCGTCGTCCTGCACGCTGACGAATTTTCCATTAGCCGATCAGTCACCCGATACTTTTTTCTCAATATTACTTCGGCCGATCAAGTTATGATTCAAATAGGATGCGACAAGTAGTCCTGACCGTAACAATCACAGCACTGATCGTAGCGTTCGACTGATTTACACTTCACGATGCTCGATCGGGTTATCCGCACCACGGGTGTCCGTATGATCACAAATAATCGCGGATTAAGCACTTGTGAACAAGCGAAGATCGTGAAACACTTAATAACTGCCAACTCCATTTACGTCACGTATGTTAGACTGCGGACGCGGTTTACGGAGAACAGTGTCGTTGTAGATATACAATAGACGCGGCACATAAGCTTAGCGGGGGAGACAGATTCGCGGTAAAAAGGGCATACCTATGCTATTTGTCTATAGAAAAAACAGTGTCGCCACAGCGTTCTTCCTCTTCCATTTACGCGCGCAAAGACTCTCCTTGTCTATTCGTATAGCGCAGTCGTGTCACACTTCTTTCTATTTTATTTTTATTACCCATCAGGCTGATCAGGCAGTGCTTCGCCCATACACGACCGTAGCCGTAAACACGTAAGGAGGCTCAAAACCTCAAAAGTAGTGAGAGATGTGTATGTGTATATGTGTGTGTGTGTGTGTGCGTGTGCGCGCGCGCGCGCCTGTATGTGTAGTTGTGGGTGTATGTCCGCGGTGTTGGAAACTCGGGGAGGGGGGGGGGGGCAAACCCTGGGGTTGGTTGGGCCCAAGGAATTGCCCCAGCGCGAGTAGTCGTCACACGAATAGACAGAGCGTCGTTGTACGCGTGAGTGCAGAGAGGGAAGAATGCCGTGCGTCGCGTCCTCCAGGCATCCACTATCCACTGCACTGGTCACGGGTCACGGCCCACGGGTCCGTTATCGTTTCCGCGAATTTGTACTACGCGAATCAAATATGGCCGTCGCGTCGTACCGTGCGAGTCAAACGGGGCGAGTTCACGTTGTAGCGCGAATTAAATATATAGTTGTCATATCGCGCGTCGATCGGGCGCTGCTTTCGTCAAACTCGACGTTCACGAAATGATACACATATATCGTAATGCGAATGCGAATGTAACGCGTATAAGATCTTATGATAATTATATCGTCGCCAGTCGTTAATAAATTCGCGATATTCGCGAGATACTTGATTCGTCACGATCGACGCTCGATCGCGAATAACGCGGAATTATGCGCATTTTCGGAAATTAGCAAAATTATCGCGCTTCGCCGACGCGCCATGCGCTATCCACGCATATTTTTCCTCGATACTTCCCGATAATTCGTTCCCTCTCGATGCTCAATATTCCCAATATATGCAGTTCGCCATTCGCAATGCGAAAAGGGCCGGAATGGACTCGCCCAGCGAAACGATCTGTGCGAGATACATGTCGCGGGATATATTTGATACCTTGACGAACGACGGGGCGACGCTTTTTGATCGAATACATGCCCGACAGTTCGCAGCTCGTTACCGGCGTCTCGTGGATTCCCGGAAAGATATTGATCGCACGATCGACGCGATTACTTGTACGAGACAGCACGGAGCGACGACGCTCGCTCGCCCGTCCATTTTAAGCAAGTGGCGTCGCCGTCGTTCCGTGTGCACCAGTGCACTGAGTCGCGAAAACGATCGGGCGCCCCGGGCCCGGGCCCCGGGAGAAACGGCGGAACCGAACCACGCCTGAATCGACCTTCAGGATCGTACATTAATTCAGCGTTTTCTTTATAATAATTGTTAGAAACTCTACATGCCGTTTGATGACGTCATTTTATGCGATTAACAGTATCCTGTCGATTAATTTGAGCCTTAATTAATATTATCTGATTAGTAATTACGATTAATACACGGCTCGTTCGATAATTCGCTATTGCTCGTAAGCGGAATTTTCAAACAATCTTGCAATTAGTACTTTTAATTTTGACAGTTTCCGTTTTGTATGTTTATAATTTTTTATAATTTTTATCAATACATTTTTAGACGAAGCGTCGGTTTTTACACGCTAGTTTTCTAATAGAGATTTTATCGAGTAACTTTTGAAAATTGTTAAAGATAGAAGAATATCTAATTTTTTAAGAATAATATTGTAAATGCTATTACTCTTTTATAAAGATACCTGATTGATCTTAGTTTTATGGTTCTATAATTCATGTTTCTTGTATATTTTATATAAATGTAATTCACATTATTTAAACAAATTGTTAATAAAAACAAATTATTATTAATTGTGCACATAATAATTAAAAAGATTTCTGGATCTCTTGTTCAAATTTGTCAAATGCCATTTTTATTAATCGTTGTTTCTGTCTACTTTTATTAAATAAATCGGCAAATATCTGTTTAATAAAACATTTCGGAAATTCGCTATATCGCAACTGTACATTATCTAAAGAGTACGTCATTCGTTTTGTTCGTCATACGTCGTCGATCTGTCGTTTCGAATAAGCCTCCGCTTAGTCGAAGCTGCACGGTCAGTTTTACAAATGTCTCAATGACTTAAAGTCATTGCGAATTAAATACACGCAATTAATTGCTCGATATGTTTCCTTCAAAGCCTCCGCAACCTCCGATCGCTTGGAACGGTACCCTAGATGCTACGACAAACGCCGAGATATGCACGCAACGGAACATTTACGTCCATCAGGAAGAGATTGTCGGCAGCGAGGATTGTCTTTACCTGAACGTCTATACGCCTTGCATAGAGTGCACCGAAGAACACTCGAATTCTAATCATAATTTGAAACAACGGAAAGCCTTCCCGGTCATGATTTGGTTCCACGGCGGCGGATGGATCGCCGGAGCCGGCCACTCTGAATATTACGGGTCCAAGTTCCTGCTGGACTTCGACCTCATCCTCGTCACCGTGAACTATCGGTAATAAAGCTTGATTGATAATTTAAATCTGATGTTAGGCATCACATTTTTTATTCCCTGTGCAAATCTTATCTTTCGTACGCGCAGATGCAATTTGATTTTTTTATATTATAAATATTACAGGTAGAAATATTGTATAAATGATACCATTATTTTTATACACGTAGAAGTAAAAGATTTACGATTGCGTTGTAGTTACGTAACGATATTACATAGATTTCTTATTTTAGACTTGGACCGCTGGGCTTCTTGAGTACGGAGGATCTGGAATGTCCAGGAAATCTAGGATTAAAAGATCAACAGCAAGCTATCCGATGGGTGCAAGAGAATATTGTTTACTTTAACGGTGACCCGAATAGAGTGACCCTTTTCGGTGAAAGCGCAGGCGGTGCAAGTGTTCACTATCATATGGTCAGCCCTCTTTCAGCAGGTAAAGTTTTAGCAATATCTTTACGATAAATCACGTTTCTTAAAGTAAATCACATTAGTTTGCAAATATAAACGCGGTATTACAAACCATAATTGTAAAAATATATATGCTGAAAAATGTAAGTACTACGTATAAACTATAAAATAAGTGCTAATTAGAATGTAGAGATATTTTGCAGCAAAAAATTAGAAAGCAGGTATAGATGAAAGTAACTTATCTGAAATAAATAAAAGAAAATAGTTTGTTATATTTCTTATTATTGCAGCTGAAATATGAGGTTAATCTGATTTGTATTATTTATCTCGGAAAACATGGATTATTACGAATTTTTCCTGATACGGAGTGTGTAGCAAGTGCTGGCAGGATTTATTGCAAAAACTAATTCTCGATTCTGCGACTCATCGGGTGTTTCACCGTCATTAAGTGATTCGTAATCGCATGCATAATATTATTTCATACACGTGCTGATGTGCATGCATAATATCAGTTTCAATTTACATCACAACTCGAATTAATCACAACGCGAATTTTCAATCAGTGTACAAAGAAATGTGTTTAACAGTATTGGCATATCTTTTTCCTGAAAGTGATTAATAATGTTAATAACATCAAGTTGAACTGCAAATCTAAAGCCCGACGAATCGCATTCAAGATCAATTAATATTTTATCATTTTTTATCACTGAAATAAGATATCTATATGTAATCTAAAAAGAGCTCCAATAAATTTTTAACGTTTGTTGACATTACATGTTTCATGCAGCATCAGTAAAAAGTATTATATGTAATTAAATTAGATGAATTCGGAGCTGATTAAATAATAGAAATATAAAAGGTGTATCGTAATGTAAATGAAAGTTTATACTCGTATATCAAGTTGATTATCAAATTATTATGACATGTTGTTAATTTAAGTTTTCTTGCAAAATATAACGAAAGTTGTCAAATCGAGAATATCATATTTTACAAAATATACTTTCCAAAAAATACTTTCCAAAAGTTTTAATTATTAAAAACTACTAACTTATACATTTCCGCAGACAATATTATTGCAGACAATATATTCCGCGTGTATTATTTGTATTACTAATGGTGCAATGGGTATTAGTAATGTGATCTTTTGCAGCATCATGCTTTAATTGGCATAACTCGTTTTTACGACCGGGAACTGTTTACGTTTTTCTCAATCACGCAGGACTTTTCCATCGCGGTATTTCGCAGAGTGGCAACTTTTACAACCCGTGGACTTTAACGTCACCAGGATTTGCCAGAAAGAGAGCCCTGACTTTGGGTAAGCATATAGGATGTAGCTCCGAGAATTCGAAGGAACTCATTGAATGTCTACGAACAAAGAGTGCGGAGGAGATTATTGGCACTGACCATCTTTTCCAGGTAATGAAATTCATCTGATATCAAAAGATACGTAAATAATATAATCAACTTATTGACAAATTTGCAATCGCTTTTAATTTTAATTGATGGCATTTTGCAATAGTGAAATAGTTGCTGCTATTCAATCTGAATGCTAAATTATTTCAAATGTTGTCAATTAAATGATTTCTTGTGTGTCGTGTGCACGTTTCTTATGTATTTGATTACGTATCTATTTTGACATCTATCTAAAAGGATCCATTTGACTGCCAATCAGTGCTCAATCGATCGTACATTGATGTGGAAACGTTATTCGTCGCGTCAAATCGCGTGAAATCAATAAATTTATGTGAAAGGTAACTCGGTGTGTCTGAGGCATATTTATGTATGTGGGTCACTTATCATCTCTGATGTAATCTCGGTACTTAAAAAGCTTCACGCCTGGTTTAGTATAGTCACGTTTTACATTAACTCCTTACTCAAAATATATTGAATGCATTCATGCGCGACTAAAAGTGCAACCGCAAGATAAATTCCGTATCTGCGCGTGCATCAGTATCAGAAATTATGTGCACTGGCAGGTAGACATTTTATCGATACGGGTGCATGTAAGTTGCCCATGAACAGTCACGCAACAGTTTCGCTTACCACTTTAGAATAGGTGTGTCTTATGTAAAATTAAGAATTAAGACGAGGTTAAAAGGTGATCAACGAATACTGTAAAACTCTCTTATCTTCTATTTCATTTTCTAATAATAAAATTGTTCACCAGATTTGTTAATTACGGTAAAAATTCAGATATAAACATCTTTCTGATAAAGAAATAATAATGTTTCATTTAAAACAGCGCCACGATAGATAATTTTAAAACGTGTTATGTTTCGAAGATAAATATTGGATTGAGATAATGAATAAACATTCATCGAAGTTCTGATAATATAAGAAAAACCAGTTTTGTAAATATGCGCGTGCACATTTGAAGATTTGAACGTGCCGATTACGTGCTTTCCGCGTGTGTAATTAATATTCACGCCTGTGTATCACGTATCTCTATCAGCTGATATTAAAATATAGCGAGCAACAAGACGCATGTACCACAAGCACGGATTTCCTACAAAATTAATCGTTGTAATAGCTGATGATTATGATATCGATGAGAAAGCGTTTGAATGCCTTTGTGCTGTTTTTCGAATTTTTACGCATTTAATACACCGTTTGATTTTGTATTTTGTGATCATACATTTTTTATAATTATCATTTAATAAAATGATTTACTCTTGTTTTTCCATGAGTTATATATGTTTTCAATGCAGCCATATGTTTTTCCATAATTTAATTTATTAATTGCTTTATCGTAGAAATTTGGCTACTGCCCGATGATACCATTCCGACCGGTAATCGAACCCAAGCACCCAGGTGCTTTCCTGACGGAGGATCCTCTAATTTCCGTACGAGAAGGCCGCCTTCTCGACATACCCTGGATGACGGGAATTACTTCGGACGAAGGAGCTTTGAGAGTAGCAGGTAGGGGTTATATGCTCGAATTCAGTTTGAGTAACAATAGAAGCAAATCTATGTAACAATTTTATGATTCCGACTATCAGAACGTTCTGTAAGATAATTTTGTTTTCAAAATATTTATCAATTTCTTATAAAGTAATTTTTAGGTAGAAGTCCCAAAAATTCGTCAATAAAGAATTTAGATTTAATAATTCTCTATAAATTTTGTAAGCAAATAAAATGCCAATTTATATGTGCATTATATTTCTCAGGTATTTACGGACAGGAGAACCGTGTGAAGGAATTGGATAATAACTTCAACAAAATTGCGCCTATAAGCTTATTTTATGACGAGAGATATAACATCACGAATGAGAATTTGCTAAATGAGATAACCACTTCCATTCGCAATTTCTATTTCGGTTATAATTCTATCGACCACACCGAGGATTCCAGGGTCAAAGTCGTCAACGTGAGTTTAAACAATTATTTGTATTATTTGAAACAATTAATATTTGAAGTAGAAAATATTATACGAATTTACATTTTAATTCAACTAAAATCGACATGTCATAAGAATGTTCTAAATAATCAATGTCAATTTAATTTTAATATTTGAATTGTTTTAGTAAATTTTATAACTTAATTAATGTAACAAAATGAAGTGAATTATACAATAATGTGATTTTATAGATGTATAGTGACTCGTGGTTTAATCATGGCACCCACAAAGCTGTGCAAGATTTTATTGTAAACCGAACTTCACCAGTCTTTTATTATTACTTCGCGTACAGAGGAAGTGCCTCCTTCAGTTCGATATTCGGCGATCCCGTAAAAGATTATGGAGTATCGCACGCGGATGATTTGCAGTACTTGTTCCCTGTGGGAGAAGAGTTGTTTCCGGACACGCCATTGTCCGAGAAAGATCAAGAAATGATTGATGTCATGACCTATCTTTGGTATAATTTTGCAAATTCCGGGTAAGTGTTAATCTCAAATCGAAGATGAGAAACTATAAATAAAATCCATACAAAATATCGAAAATTTGAATTATAATAAAATTTAATTATAATTAACATTGGAATAATGATTAATGCAAAATTGGTTTAGCTATTTATTTATTGAATTAACTACTTCATTCAATGATCTTTGTTAGACTGCATTTTTTACATTGGATATTATTTTTATTCTCGCGATTATGGATTTTTTTGATAAAACAAAACCATAAAATTCACCAACATAATATATAAATATTTTTTTAGAAATCCTACGCCAAAAGTGACAAACGTGGTTCCATTGAAGTGGAAACCTGTGAAAACAGAGGAAGCACCGGAATACCTGCGCATAAAAAGCTCAACGAAGATTGCTATGGATCATAGTCTTCTTTTAAAAAGAATGTTATTTTGGGATTCCTTAACACACCAGTTGAAGTGCCATGACAATACTTTTAGACGTTTGAAGGATGAGTTGTAACTTGTACATTTGTAATTTGCGCATAAGGCAAAGATATTTGAATGTGACTGCAAGAATCTTAAAATGCTGAAATTTTAAGAGGTCATTTTTCATTCATTTTATAGAATTAATTAATAATAGTTTAATTTTAGTTATTCCAAAAACTTTTTAGATTATAGCAATAAATTGCGCAAACTTTATTTTAATAACATGTAAAATTCACGAAACGCGCAATATTTTAATATAAACAAGATGAGTACTTATAATATATTTATATTATATAAATACGTATATGTAATACACAAAGTATAACGTCAAAATAACACTACGCTACGGGATTGTATAATTTGCAATAATTATTTTAGTGTTGACATAATATAACAATAAATTTTTTAGATAACTTTAGTTAAAAATATATTTTTATCTCACGGTTAAGATGAGAGTGGATTCAATAATAAAGATTACGATCGGTAATATTATACAAGCTATAAAGTAACATAGTTCAGAATTTCACCGAGTTTCTCCTTACCTTTCCATATTACGAAATTCCTCTACGCAATTCCGTATAGCAATCTTTCAGTTATCTACTTCAATATTAAATATCATTAACTTGACGTACGAAACTTTTCACGTAAGACTATCACTATGTTGCATAGTATTTATAGTGCCTGCAGGATATTTCTGATATGATAAAAAAAAGTTGATTGTATAAAAGTGAGATTATATAAAACAGATTATAACTTTCCATTTTCTCGAATGCGCGATATTTACATGTTTATTTAAACTTCTTCAGTTAAACACGGAGTCTGTCTGATTAATATGATTTCGATATTAATCCAATTAAAGTATACGATCATCAAAATACACTAATCGATTTTTAAACTTTTTTAAAAAGATGTGAGTGTGATACGAAAACCTCATTTCAACTCACTTCAAACTGCGGATTGACAGAAGAAATTTCGGGACGTTGTTTAGTTAACGGTCATGTCCATTCATTGCGAATAAAATAAATTATTGTTACGAACTTCACAAGACTGAAGAGTTTTAATGTTTAGTTGAAAGTATCGTCATGGATGAGGAAAAAAAGAACGATTTTATTGGGATGGAAGCGAGAATGTACGCGCCTTTGGAGTGGGATTCACCGGCGATATGCAAAATACAGGATCTCAAGGAAGCGCAGTACGAGGAAGCTCTACGTCTGATAAAAGTTCAGCAGCGGGAAAACCTGTGAACGTACACGCCTGCGTTGAATAGTTCAACAGCAATTAATCACAACCATTGATTTTGCGAAAACGCATCAACAACGTTTATTTCGACTTTTCCTCATTCCGTCTTTATCTATTCCTCTCATTTGCAAAATGTTTTTCCGACGAAATCCGGTTAGGAAATCACGCTTATCTCATTTATCGCTCGCGTGTTATCGTCATGCGATTGTAACATGATTACTCAAGCTCGATTGAAACTATTTCAGAGAACTCTCGTGAGATATCAAATAGATTCGTAATTTCATTTCAGCTCACTCTGGCTCACTTTCTAGCAATAATTTAATTTTAAAGATCACAGAATAGTAGAAAGTTAAAGATTGAATCATTTCCCCCGAATGTTATAAAAATCAAGGTTATTGACTCTTTCGCAGCATCATTTTTTTCGGGAGGAGCCGATGTGCCGAGCAGTTGCTCTATTGGAAGATCAGACATCCGTCAGCGAGTACCTAAATCTTCTGAGAACGTGGATGAAGGACACCACTAGTTTGGTCGCGCTTAGTTTGGCATCGGGACGAGTCGTTGGAGTTGCCGTTACTCGAATCAACAGCGATTCGGACAAGAGCGACACGTATAATCGAGTCCAAGTACGTGTGGCACTTTGTTGCAGTATCAAATTCTGAGAGCTCGATGTAACGAGAATAGCGAGCAATTAAATCTTTCGACATATGCTCTGATGTTGCAATTACATATTGTACACAGAGATTTTTCTTTTTATGTATAAACGGAAAATCTGAAGGCATGCAGCATTGATAGTCCGATTCCGATATATTTAAGATTTATTTCAAGCCCGTTCCCAAATTAAGATTTCATCTAGAAGCGATTGTAGTAGTATCTCGAGATCGTGCTTAAAACGATCTTATAAAGTCGAAATAGTACCGTCCCAAAGATAAGCAGCTTCGTTCTTATATAAATTGGATTGAGTATAAATTGCGCAACGCTAGGAACGTGTGCTCGGTTGGTTCAGAATTTCGAGGGCGACGCCTTGGAGAAAATCATGAGTCTGATCAACGCCCTGATAATGGGGACGGACGCGTACAGAGAGCTCGACTGCGACGTGTATCTTCGGGTTCACGTTCTCTGCGTTCATCCGTCCCATCAGAAGAAAGGCGTCGGCGCGGCCCTGCTGAAGGCCTGCGTTCAAGTCGCGTCCACGTTGGGCATGCCGGCGATCGGTGGCGTCTTCACGTCGGGTTCGAGCCAGTCGTTAGCCCTGAAATTGGGATTTCATCTCGTCGCGGAGGTCCGCTACAGTCGCTGGGTCGTCGACGACAGAGTCGTGTTCGACGATTCCGGCAAGGGAAATTACTCGGCCGCTTTCATGGGAATGCGAATACCTCGCGAAGACTGCGAGGAGTCGCGTAGCGAGCTCGGAGACGGGAAATAACGATGGCGACCATATATCGTGCGTCGATAATATCGCGGTACGAAGTCACGGATAACGACTGCAGTTACATTGTATACGTTTTTGATGGTAAAATTCTCGCGAGAGAGACGCGAGAGTGCCTCATGAAGA